ACCTTATTATACATTTATATGCTAGTAATCATATAGAAATTTTTTAATTATTATTATTATATGTATATATTTAACTTATTTTTATTTTTATATATGATGATGGCATGACTTATTGAGCTTAAATGGAGAAATATGGTCAGTGAAAATTCATATAGCCGACTCTAATCTTATTTGAGATTGAGACAAAGTTATTGTAAAACCGCGATTATGGTGGGAATTAAACTAGACTCCTATCCGTATATTAATACCCAAACGAAGAATACATAAGAAAGAGGAACATGGTGCCTACGTTCCTCAGACAATGTAGATTGAAAAGCCACAATCTATGGGTACTAAGATTTAATTTGTTTTTTCCTGTTTGAGTTGTTCAGCCTTTTCTTCGTCAAACGCTGTAATATTACACTACTGGCCAGTTATTTTATCTACAAACAAGCAAGTTTATCATCCGATATTCTTTTCGTTTTTCTTTTCTTTTTCATTGCCCAATATAATAGCTTATTTGGCCAAATTTGTTTTTGTCAAAAGTATTATTTTTTCAAAGTTAAGGTATTTTGAGTAGTTTTTAGAAGGAACAAAAAGTGCTTTTTAGTAAAATCAAAAGCTATTTTTGCGAAATTGAAAAAAATAGCTTCTTTCAAACGTATTTTGTTGAAAAACACTTTTAAGAACCAAAATAGCTTCTTTCAAACGTATGTTGTTGAAAAATACTTTTCAGAAAATCATTTCTCATAATAAGCTGATTTTGGAAGCCTGATCAAACACACTATAAGTGTCGTTGTGACTTTTTTTTAGGGTACAAGTTAATCATCATCTAAAAAGTTCCAAAATTACCATGCAATTGTTGCATGTATTAACTTAAAATTAGGTCGACATAGCATGTGTTAAATTTCCCCCCATTTAAACCGTAGTAGTCCATTAAAATGCACCTCACAATATAAACTTTTCCTATTTTCTTGTGTATACACTTCATAAATTACCTTGGAGCAACGGTAAAGTTGTCTCTGTGTGGCTTATAGGTCATGGGTTTGAGCCGTGGAAACAGTCATTAATGCTTGTATTAGGATAGGATATTTATATCACACCTCTAGAGGTGCGACCCTAATTCGTCGGACCTTGTGTGAATGCGAGATGCTTTGTGCACCGATTGCCCATACTTAATGAATTACCTTAGTCGTATCCGATGCGACGGACTTTAATCTTCACTCTAAATTAGAATTCGCGTTTATCATCCACGTAGTCCTTGACAGGTAGAAAAATAAATGAATATTGTAACAACCCAATTATATGATCTGGTTCATTATCAATCATTGGCTGAACTTCTGGTGAAGTTGGTGACAGGCTTGAAACCTAAATATAGAAATTCTACTAATGTTTATCCGTCAAAGTTGTTGAAACGGACTCCCTGTCCTCGCATGATAATCCCAAATAATATTCCTTTAGTTTCAATTTACGTGGCATAGATTGACCGAGCACGAAATTTTTAATAAATAAAAAAAGATTTTTGAAACCTACAATAATATATGTGCAGCTATAACTAAAAACTTCTCATTAAGAGAAAATTTGAAAGCTTACGTTGAATTATTTCATCATTTAGAAAGCTACCAATCGTTTTGCAATTTACTAAAATAAAATGTTGCCTACATAACTGAAGCCCCTACTAGTTGCCCTTATAGACGTAGATTTAAAATAAATATGTGAAAATTCAAAAAAATTGAGTTCGATAACACAATAAGCATGTCAAATTTTGAAACAACGGCTTAGCTATTTTATATACATGTGATACAGTTTATACTTTCCACTCCTGCCATTTGTTTCTTCAATAGAAGTGAGAAATCCTACTTGGGGTGGTTTGGTTTGCAAACATGCTATTCTGGAATTGTAATATGAGGGATACAATACAGGGAGTAAATAATAATGAACTAATTTAATAAAGATACGTTTTTGGTAGATGTTTGGTTAAAAATAAATATAGTGATATAATATAAATTATGTGTTTGATTTTATAATAGATAAACTTAGATTAGCTAATTTCAATGTTAACCTTTTAAGGACTTTGGTAAGCGGGCTTTGGAGAAGTGGAGAAGTGCACTTTTGTGCTATCTCGGGATTGTTATCCCACATAATTAAATGTGGTATAAAAGTAACACTAAAAGTATATATCACTAATTTTGAAATTGCTTATAGGAAATAAAAGTCCAATAAAACACGAAATTAAATAATTCTATATTTTATTTGTTCTTTGCTTAAAGCGTGGATCGATCGTGTCACAAATGGAATCAACAAAATACGAAATAATGATAATAATGGGAAACTACAATGAAACTATAAGTGGAGAAAAAACATAAGAAGATACGAAATTAAAAACTTCGCATAAATGTACATGTTATGATTATATGAATAGTCTATGAACTTGAATGTTCTCAATATATGACTGGATCTACCTTTTCGACTGGACTTGATTTATGGCATGTTATCACTGACTTCACCTTGAATTATATATGCGTCTTACAGAGCCATACATGAGCAGAAGAGAGTGAAATGTAGCCAAGGACGACCTGCCGATAAGTCGTTGCATTGGCTGCAACATCTTGACAAGTCTCCTTGGCTGCAATTCACTCGCTACCTCTTCATGCAATGACTCTCTAGACAAATTATGAGCAATTCAACTGGATGTAATTTGTGAAACAATTACTGACTTCACCTCGAATTATATATATATCTTATAGAGCCTTACATGAGCAGAAGAGAGTAAAATGTAGCCAAGGACGACCTACCGATAAGTCGTTGCATTGACTACAACATCCCGGCAAGTCATCCTTGGCTGCAATCCACTCCCTACCTCTTCATGCAATGACTCTCTAGACAAATTATGAGCAATTCAACTGGATGTGATTTGTGAAACGCAATCACTGACTTCACCTCGAACTATATATGCGTCTTACAAAGCCTTACATGAGCAGAAGAGAGTGAAATGTAGCCAAGGACGACCTGCCGATAAGTTGTTGCATTGGTTGCAGCATCTCGGCAAGTCATCAGTGGCCGCAATTCACTCCCTACCTCTTCATGCTATGATTCTCTAGACAAATTATGAGCAATTCAACTGGATGTGATCAGTGGCGGAGCCAGAATTTTCGTTAAGAAATATATAAAGTAAACGTATGAGGAAATTAAGGGGAGTTAATACATAGTATATATAATTTATTTTTTTTACCTACCTACACAATGTATTTTTCCCCCGAAGGGGTGTCATTCCTTCCTATAAGGTGGCTCCACCACTAGATGTGATTAATAAAACGCAAACTCGAACTATATATGTGTCTTATAGAGCCTTACATGAGCAGAAAAGAGCTAAATGTAGCCAAGGACGACCTGCAGATAAGTCGTTGCATTAGCTACAACATCTCGGCAAGTCATCCTTGGCTGCAATCCACTCTCTACCTCTTCATGCAATGACTCTTTGGACAAATTAAGATCAATTCAACTGGATATGATTTGTGAAACGCAATTACTGACTTCACCTCGAACTATATATGCGTCTTACAGAGCCTTACATGAGCAGAAAAGAGTGAAATGTAGCCAAGGACGACCTGCCGATAAGTCGTTGCATTGGCTACAACATCTCGGCAAGTCATCCTTGGCTGCAATCCACTCCCTACCTCTTCATGCAATGACTCTCTAGACAACTTATGAGCAAATCTCCATAAGTAGAATAGGAGAAATTATATGTCTTATGATCACTGGTTTCATGCATATGTAGCCCTTGGAATGTCTGAATGGGCAAGATTGTGTGAATATAATTTATAGGAAAAGTAGAATGAAGGGATGGGACAGCATATATTCGTCTATGTCCCAAAATAAACATGACTTTGCCGAAAGTGGAAATATGCCCATGCCTCTTGTATTGCACTAATAATAGAAGCTCCGTATATGGTCCAAATTTGGACCAAGTGTAGAGTCAAAGGGATAATATTTGGACCGCTTGTAAATAAAGTATTGGTTGAAAGTGATCCATTTCTCATCAATCATCATAATGGATCATGTTGAGATAGAAGAAACGCTTCAAGGGTTATTATTACTTAATTATGAGGGGCTCAAAATAAATTGTGGGAATTCATTCTCAAACCCCCTCTTTTCCCTCCTGAGTGAAGGAACCTTGCCTTGCTTCCTGTTCATTTGTGAGTCTGAACCCGATGTCTTTTTCAAGAGGTGATTTTAAGACTCAATCAACGGAAAATTTCGTAGTTCAGGTGACTCACAACTACGACGTGAATCGATCATGACGAGAATGGACTTAAATTTTTGTAATGTAACTATAGTAGAAGAGGTAGAGGCAAGTTCTCCTTCCTTCTCGGCCAGATGAAGGTGATATAAACTCCATTTACGCGGTTAAGGCTTGATTTGACCTTGTGTTCTCGCGTGTCAAACGCAAAGTTTTTCGTGGCTAACAAAAAGACAGTTTATTGAATTGAAAAACTATGTAGGATTATTACATAAGGGAACTGAATCGGCTATCCGCGCGCTGCCAATGAGTCTACCACAGCATTATCTTGTCCGTAGACATGACAGACCATTGGCTGTTAGGGGCTGGATCCAGCCTTATAGATATAGGCGCATTTGAACTCATAACTTTTCTAGAGTTGAATTTATCTATATAAAAAATAATTAAACAGTTGAAGATATTGAACTATATATGAGCCCAAAATTTTCATGAAACCATAGAATTAAAATTCTAAATCCACCTCTATTGATGATAGATGAATGTCTTTTTGTGACAAAAACAGTTCTTTTTTATAAAATAATTCAAATAATAGAATTTAACATTTGAAACACTTGCTACAACTGATGCTTGGGTGCGTTGCCCAGGAAGGCTTTCGACAAATCTGTATTTCTCTAGTACGTTCCTAATTGACATTTAGTCCATGACCTATATGATCATAATCTAATGCTAGATTGCTCTTAGATGAAGTGTCTTTTATGCAATAAGAGAACATGTCCTCAAATTACTAGAAACAAACACCCCTGATACAGGGAAGCTAAAGATTTAAGGTTCCAAATAAAAACTTAGGGTTCCATTCAATACAAAATAGAGTTGTCTTTGCTCAAGAATCATGTTTGACCTATTAGAAATGCATACTTTTGCGAGAATATGGCCCTATCTTCTACAATATTCTAAAGCCATTAGGAAATGGGTATTTTTATCAGTCTGCCAATTCAGAGACATTAGATTCTTTTCTTCAGAAACTCAGCGACTACACTGGAGGGGTAAACACCAAATATCACACGGTAAAGGCACGATAATTGCCATCCCTCATAGAAACTTCACTTGAATAGCTCCGGGTTCAGCCAGTCCCTACCAGAATGAATTAGCAGAAACAAAAGATTAGTAACTAATAAAGAACATTGTGGACACTTGCAGGGTTCAAGCAGACTACAGTATATAGTTCTTACTTGCTAATGTCATCCAGGTGATCGTCGAAATCTACAATATCCTTCCATTTCCCTGACGAGATATAATCTAGAAGGACAACATTTGCAGATGGCTCCTTGATTTTCAGAGGGCCGCTTGCATCCGCTCCCACTAGTTTCCAGTTCCTAGATACTTCCTTAGTGTAAAGCTGAATAAAATGCAAATGACATACAGTAAAGGAAACCATTATGACGATATGAATAACTTGTTTAAGTATAAATCTATAATAATCATAGTCTTATACAAGCAAGACCAGTAATGACAAAGACACAAACAAGTGCAGAGAACGAGCTTTAAAGTAAACCGGTAGGTAGACCTATGAATTAGCTTGCATTGCAATACGTAACACAATTATAAATGGAGAAACAAATTAATACAGAGCATAGCGATATTGACTCTATAAAGTATCTCTACGCAAATTTTTATCTAACTGATTTCCAAATAATCACATCTAGAACCACTGGATATATTGGTAAAGACGATGCAGAGAGAGTCTGATTTCGCCCATGGCAAATGATACAATTTTACAGCAACGCTTTACTTATTTTATCATGAATTGCAAAAAACTACAGCAAAAGGACTCTGAAGTCAAGATTTTCAGGCCAGCGGTCTTAAAAACCATTGAAACTCTTTCATAAGAAGCTACTCATTCCAGACAATTCTCTGTTTCCATGCAGATGAAACCAACTAAGGACTTTATTTCATCTGAATGAGTTAAAGCAACTTTCTCCTCTGATGCAAGCTAAGCATGGTGATTCATCTTCATCCAGATTATAACAGAACATAGAAGGTCCAATTCAAATACAAATTTGGGTTCTGATATTATTTTCTCCTGAAGTTGTCGAAGTGGGGGTTCTAATTCTTTCTATATTCAAGATATTTATAGTTTAAAGGAAGAGCCAACCCAACAGATATCAGGTGAAGATTTAACCTATCCAAACCTCCATGGTTCCACCTATACAAAATATTTCATTTTCCTCTGCAATCCGTAATGAAGCAATGCCATGGCCTTGAGAAGACAAAACAGGGGTGACTGAATTGAAGATATAAATCATATGATTTTCCCTTATCCGAACGGGTCTTGCAAGAAAATATGATTTTATATTGAGCTCCAAGTATACGCCATTTTGAATGGGATGGCTCCTACCAGCTCTTCCTCACCCCCCACCCCAAAGAACCACACATGTGAGTTTCCCCGCATACGACTCAAGTGGTGACTCCAAGTGCGCAAAAGTATGGATGATTTCCTTTTTTTGTAAGATTTATCTTTTTCTTATTTTTTGTATCAATTATCTAAAACATATATCTTGAACTGGGCTATCCGAACGGGTCTTGCAAGAAAATATGATTTTATATTGAGCTCCAAGTATACGCTATTTTGAAGGGGATGGCTCCTACCAGCTCTTCCTCACCCCCCACCCCAAAGAACCACACATGTAAGTTTCCCCGCATACGACTCAAGTGGTGACTCCAAGTGCGCAAAAGTATGGATGATTTCCTTTTTTTGTAAGATTTATCTTTTTCTTATTTTTTGTATCAATTATCTAAAACATATATCTTGAACTGGGCTAACCTCCAGCTAAATTTAGCATCTGATGGAAAGAGGGATGCACAGTAAAAGATCAAGTCTACCTCCATGCATCTTGAAACAGCCACTAAAGCTAAAAAATCTTCTTCTAACTTTGACCAAATTCAAGCTTTAAATAATCTCCTTAGAAAGGGATTTAACATTTCAACCAGACATACCATATTTTTGTTAAGTACTTCAGGCAATGAGCTGCTCTAATAGGACTTTTCGACATAGAAAGCTCTCAAACAGACCTCAAAAAATACAAATGAGGTACTACTTGCACAATGAAAGAGACAGGAAACGAATTTGAAAATGGTAGCAGCAGCCGTCAACTAGTATAGAGTACCTTGTTATGGTCTGTTTGGAGCTGATTTTTCCTTTGGTACCAAAACAAGTTTACAGGAGTTAAAGACCGATTGAAAGATTCTTATAGGAGTTAAAGTGAATGACAAATAGAAACAGTGGAGACATCATGCATGTGCTAGTGGCAGAAGCACCATATGTGAATGCTCGGTATTTTCCAAAAAAAAAGTTATAGAGAGAAGAATGATGAAGCTTTATCGAACTTCAGAAAAAAGAGAACAATGACGAAGGTAGACAGCGAAGAAGGATTATCAACTGCTTTTCCTTCATGTCAACTGGCTAAACTAAAAACACTGCAGATAGAATATGAAGGGAGGATTTATATTTGTTCACCCAGCGGAAATAGAAAAATGAAGATTATTGCGCACAAACAGTCTTAGATGAGAACTTGATTTCTTGACTCCCATAGTTATCAAAACAATAGGGCAAAGTTCTCTATCGTCAAACAACAACATGTTCTCTAGTACACGGAAAGAAGTAATAACCTTCGGCATTTGGATAAAAACAAAAGAGTAAGGCAGCCACATTACTCCAACTAATTTCATCACGGGGCGTAAATGGGACAGATTCCCTGCGAACCCAGTTGTTGTAGGAGATAAATCATAAGGCAGCTAGAATTTCTTATGAAAGAACAAACAATAGATAGAGAACTGGTCAAGTACTTGGTAAAGCTAAATGCCACAAACTTCAAATTTGAATGGCATGAACTAATACGAAATTTGACATCAATAATTAACCAGAAGGGTAAAAACTTAAAAATACACTTATAAGCTTCAGTTTCAAAAGCCAATAGCTCCTTAAAATGAAATGCACATACCTGCATTACAGGACTCCTGTCTTTCCCCTCCTTTAGTAAAGCTTCAAGCTTCTTATTATCCAACTGAAAAATGCAAGAAACATTAAGCTTAAGCATTCTATAACTTAAAACTCAAAGATTGAAACTTTTGAATTAGAACTATGTTGATTAAATCAAAAAGGTACCAGAAGCAAAGCAGCTTGAGGGAAATATTTGAAGATGTGATCTGCAATATTCTTGGCCACATTCCCAACCTCAAAATCATCAAATCTTTCGTTTGCGTGAAAGTAACCCACAATACTTAAACCTTTATCAGCATAATACTCCTCAATCTATCCAAATAAATATTCGAACAAGATCAGAGATCCAAATAAACTACAAGTAGAAGGGCACAGTGTATTTAAGCTGAAAGCAGTGAGACCCACTACCTTCTACCCTAGCAACATATATTTATTGGAAAATTCTCCAAAAACATTGATTCATACTCGATTCAAATCTATTTTCATACAGAAGTAATGGATACTGTCCCAAATTTGAAAGTATTGGATTTAAGTTATATACATTGAAAATGTACTATTTTTTACCTTGTGATACAAGTTACCATTTTTTCTTAGCAACTCCCTCTATTCCATTTTATGTGGCACTCTCTCCTTGTTAGCCAGTTCCAAAAAGAATGACACTTTTCTATATTTGAAAATAATTTAACCTTAAGCTTCCCATCGTAACGTTAATGGCATACTTATATAGCCACATTAATATTTTAGGCCACAAGTTTGAAAAGTATTTTTTTTTCATGCGCTTCGTGGCCAATCAAACACAAAAACGGGAGTATCAATTAATGCTTATCATAATGATTAACCAGTAATTAATAGTTACCTGGTTGTGTAAATATCTTTCACACCATCAGCTATTAAGACTTTAAACTCGTATTGGATTCATTTATACTAGGATTTAAGTTATACACAGTGAGAGTGTAATGAATTTTTTGAACTATAAAATCATATCAGATTCATTTATACTAAGTTCAAATTGATTATCACAAAGATCAGTAAGCCACACCGACATTTACAGATATTCATTAAGACTAAGTTCAAATCCACTGATTTTAAATTCTAGATGCAAAGTTGATAGAAGAAAAGGGGGACTGACTTACCATGATAAGGGAAATTTCGAGTGGAGGAAGGAGGCCAATCTGAGAGTGGAATAACGGAACGGATTCGACGATTTCAACGGCAGTGTCGTTGCCGGATATCCGGCCGAGAAGAACGCCGTTGACGGAGGAAGTCTTGTGCTTGAGGGCATGTAGGATTAACTTGATGTACGCGTTTTGATGAATCTCGTAATTTGATTCGCCGCCGCCCATCTCGAACACGAACAATTTCTGTAAAATCCTTTTGCAGGCGCCGGCCAATAATAATCTGTTTCTACGTCTCCAGAAGTCGATGCTCTCTGTGTAAATTGAATCTGTCACTACTCACTACTATTAGTCCTTTTTGGTGTTTTCTCTTTTGTTTTTATTTTTCTTTTTCATCTTTAGTGGGAAAGGCTCCAAACTAAAATAGGCCGTTTGGATTTTGTTTTAATATTAGTTTTTGAAAAATATTAGCCTTAAAGTTGATTTTTGAAGAATAATTATGTGTTTGTATGTAATTTTTAATAAAAAAAATAATTCTATCTGTATCGAATTCTATATTTTGTTAGATTTTATTGTTTGAAAATTAAATACTATATTTATTCTATGATTATCTTTCGGTCCACAAAAGTCCTCCCATTTACGATTTTCCACCGTGAGAATTTGATTTAATGTGGCTTATACTACTGAAGCCACATATGAGTATATTTGGATATTTTTAATCGCTTAGAGTATATTTGAATCTTTCTACTTGATCATGGGCATATGCTTAAAATTATTGCAAACGATATAATAAATCGTTAAATGGAGGGGTAAATAAGGGACGAAATTATGATGTGAGCTTTCATGGATCGAAAGATAAATAGAGGCATATGTCTATTGATCGATAGGTGAATGAAAGGCGAATTTAAGACATATCGAAAAGGATAATTTGGAAAAAGGGATAAATTTGAATCTTTCCCTTTAAAAAATAACATTATATTTTTAAAGCTTTGCAAATACTTCCATATGATTTAAAGATTACGAGAAAAATAGACTAAAGATAGTCCAACGACATATAAAAGGGATTGACTGCCTTAAATCTTAATAACTTTTAGAAATTATATATTGATATTTAGGGGTATGGACAAACGGATATAATCTAAAAAACCAGCTACCTCTTTTTCACTCTTTAGTTTGCCAAACACCAAACAAACAGAAGTAAATACATACCTGCACTTGGTATTTATACAAAACCAAGCGGTTTAACTGTGAGAGTCACAAATTATAGTGCAGATGCGTATGACCTAATCATAGTTAAGTGATAAATAAATTATATGCAAGACAAGTGGCACACATCCATTTGCTTGGTGCAAACACCCGGTTGGAATAAATTTTATTCCAAGCAAAAAAGTGCTTTAAAATGATTTGACTAACTTTTAAGTCAATCCAAACATCCGCTTGCATTCTTTAACTAGTTTAAGACACAAAAGGTTCAGGTTCACTGTTCTTTTCACTTCCAATAAGGACTTTACAATTCGATCAATGAAATGGATGAAAACTATCGGAGTTCCATGGTTCACATCACAATAGACACATAATAATTGTGCAGACTTTGTTCTAAGGCCGCTGGAAGAAAAAAGTACAAGACATGAAGTGTTTTATGAAATCAATTGCACTTGTCCTTGAAAACCTTTGCTACAAATGCAAATGAATTGAAATGAAAAGCACTTTCTCCAAAACATTAGCAACATGACCATCTCTGATTTGATTCATACTTGCTCCTCTCCATAGCTAAATGTTATTTTCCAGGCTTTCTTCTAGTTTTATGTCCCCGTGATCGCTTCATATCTTTAGCTGAAACAAAATAAGATGTATAACGATGTGATTCATAGTTATAGCTGTATAGCTGCAAATGAGTATATCAAACAAGACTTCACTTAGTAACCATAGTGATTATTGCACTCAAATACTCATCCGTGTATCACTACAAACTCCTTTCCCAGCCAACAACAAATATAAAATTACAACAACAACGATAAAGTGGTACAAATATAAAGACTGCATATTATCTTGCCAAGATATGGATTGACTTAATTAACTGGACAAAGAAGGAGACGTCGTATTATGGACTAACCTGTCAATCTGCCAGCATCGTACAAAGCTTCCTCAGCGATAGGTCTCCACTGTTCAGCACATGAATGACTTATTCCCAAGCCAACACTAAGCCCTCTCAGTAATTGCAGAGTTCGAAGAACAGAGAAAAGTTCTTCTGGAAAAGCCTAACATCAAATAGAATTGTTTTTAGACTTTGATCCTGGTACGCAATTAACCTTACATGTGATAGGTAATTAATCAGCAAATAAGAAAGGCGGGTGAAGGACATGCAGATAGAATTGTACAATGCGTCATTACTTTACTAAGTAACAAAAAGAACTTGAGAAGGTATGAGACTGCATTTTTTAATTTACATCTCATTACAACATTTTGTGCATCGTGTTATAACTTCCCACCAGAGTCCTTTAGCCCAACGTAATTCTTTTTCCTGAATTGTCCGTTTTCGAGCCTGAAGCTCCAGACGAAAAGGAGATTTACTTGTCAAATTCACTTCATCCTCCTAATGCTATTCTAAGAAGTCATTTACTTTACGTTGCAAAATCAAGGGGTGAAAAGAAAATTGCAGAAGTGCCCCTCTTTTGGATTGTCCAAAAGTATGTCCACCTTCTAAAAGGGAAACTCTTTCTACACACTGTTCAATACTTCTCCAGTTCCTTATTACCGAAGCACCAACATTGGACCGACGGTTAACAAGTTTAAATTCTTTAGTGAGAGGTTATCAAAATAGAGCTGTGTCAACTCTTGTCTTCAATATCTATGACTAATCAAACTGGGTGGACCTAATGTAGACAGGTAGTATCATGTGGCAAAGTTCATAGATTCTTGACTAGTATATGCGATCCTTGCTAAAAATGATTAAAGTCGGTTAACTGTAAACACCAGAGGTTCAAAGCACAGGTACCACATACCTCAACTGCAATTTTTTTGACCGAAGATTCTTCCGAGAAAGGTTGCAGGGTCTTTACACCAGGTGGTAATTTTGTATCAAACATCCCTTGCGCCAATTTAAGCATTTCTTTCTGCTCATCCTCACAACTGCTCAGGGTGTTTATGCCAAGCTCCCTTTCATTCAAAGTGAGAGGTATTCAAAGACTTGGAACATATCAGTATTTATGATAATGTAATTTTTGCAACAACTCTAATTAATCCTACAGAAACAATTTTCCCGTTTCCATCTTTGTAGTCAGTCACAAGAGCAGTTGGTTTGCTCCAAGAAATCAACTGCATTTTCCATTCTCCACACTTGAATAGAATGCTAATGCTGTTTTCTTTTTCACATGAAAAAGGGTGTTTTACATTAACAATCTTGCCCCCCGATGAGGAATTCTTCACATTTCAATAACGTTGATTCATCCTCCCATTAATATTTATCCTATTTTCTTTTTCAAAACTGAAAGAAGATATTTTAATTACAAGTTATGGGCAGGAAATTTTAAAGGGTAAAAATTGTTTTTAATTGCCACTATCAACTTATTTCCATGTGACTAGCTAAAACTTAAACTGCTATTTTCTTGTCTATTTATTGTAGTCATTTTCTCTGTTGGAAGAATGGTTTTAATTCAGAGGTTTTGAGTCCTTCCCTTAGTATTTTGCACAATTTCGTTTTACCGGAAAGAAAACCAATTTTGAACATATAACAGGAGATTCGTAGGTAAATTCCTCACTTAAAACTTTCTTTGGCCCTCGTAGCATCGCCATCCGCAATAGCAAGAACGAGATTAGCATATCCAAGCCTGAGATTTTCTGGAAGATCCTTAACTTGTCCATAATCCAGCAATGCAACCTTAATAATTAAGAAAAGAATGGCATGATCCTTGTCAGCACTCTGAACAAGAACATTTTTATATGATTACGACTTTGAAACAAGAAAAAGAGAAGACGCATACTTGCCTCAGCACCTCTACAGATTAGAATATTCCCAGGGTGTGGATCTGCATGAAAGAAACCGCTCCTCAGTATCATCTGTCCATAAGCCAGGGACAAACTTTTAAGAATGTTCCTGCATGCACAAGTAACCAAATAAGAGAAGCTGAATGACGTTGAAAAGAGACTAGGAAGAATTGGAAACTACTGATAGTAATGATAGTATGGGAATAAATAATTTATGTAGAAATAAATTAACTGAAAGAGTCATATTAAGAGAATAAAGACTTCTCTATTTTAGGAAATATTTGAAAAGGAATAACAGAGTTCTGCATTAATTTGCATTACTGAAAAAAAAGGGAGGTCTTTGCAATAGTTAACATGGCAAAGAGCTGAGAAGTTCAAATGTAAAGGTTGTGTGGTGGAATGTTTTAGCACGGCAAATATCTCAAGCTATGTAGCTTTTGAGAATATACTTTATGCTCTTTAATAAATAGGTAGGTGGTGAGACATCTTCAAAAGTTCTTCTGGTTGAGAGGAGAGATTTTGAAGAATCTCATCTCTAACAAGATATAGGTGTAGAATGAGAATCTTTCGTGAGATAAGTGGCGTAATAACCTAGAACAAGTGTCGCAATCACCATAAAGTTTGTTAGTTCAGGAATAATTCAGAAACCAGCTATTTTTGTGTTAAGTTTAGTCTTGCAGAGATAACAAATATATCGAAAGAGATGGTGACCAAAATAAATTGAGAAGAGAAAAGATGTGGAGTGATCAGTACAGCAGTGTTAGAACCATAATATTGTAGAATACCAAATATGACGTGAAATCTAACTTCATTCTGAGAAATCTAGTTTCTTACTGCTTTGCCACTGCTGCAACTTTACCATCTGGACTTATGCCTCTCTTTGCCATTTCATCTCCCAGATTCAGGATCGGGGTTCCATCAATATATTCCATCATTAGGACCCTCCTATTACAAAATTTAGACAAAAAAAAAATGATTACTAAAGTAAATGAAAAGAAGTTACATTGTTAATATATAGTTCATAAATCTAACAGAAAATACAGACAAACCGAGGTTGAAAGTAAATAAACCTAACTTACATCTATTAGTAGTTGGAATGATGAAAGCAAACAAGATGTGAGAATTTAGTTTTCAACAATCTCTTGATCCACCTTATAACAGCAAGACATCTCAAATGTTCACTGAATATCAAAACCTACCAACATTTGAATATGAAAACATCAATTGGTCAGCAGCAGTTCACCTTGTGACAATATCTCGAAGCACCCGGGGAACAATAACTGGGGACTTTTTGTTATTTTCGTAAAGAAAACGCCGAATTCTATCCATTGCGTCAGCCTCTCTCAAGAAGTTGAATTCACACCCAATCTTAGATGGAAGAAGTGAAATCAGTTTATTGAAACAAAAGGATAAACAGAAGAAACTT